GGTCAAGAGCCAGCATCAAAATTACAACATTTTGAGATTTAGCACTTGGAAGACATAAGCTACTTATTTTCAACGTCTCAAAGTAGTGTCCTGAATGAGATTCACACAGGAACCATCAAGCTGTTGCATCATTCCAAGGTATTTTTCTAGAAGAGAGCTTACTTGTAGAGAGCAGCAAGGCGGACCAGTTCACTATAATGAGTTGGATAAAACTTTGTCTTTCGCCACTGAAACCAAACTGAAGTGAAAATATGGGTGGGTGTATCCTTCAGCAATTCGTCGAGATTTGGCATGGCAACAGCAACCTTATAACTATACAGAAAATAGTTGAATTGATTAGATTACAAATCAATGACAGAATTCAACAAGGCCTAATTAAGAGCTTACCCATCTTTCACAAAGCTGTCCTTGAAAAAATCCAGATCAATTGTCTCAGAGAAAATGACAACGCATGCATCTCTATGGTGGGAGAGCAGACTCTCAAGTCCCCTTTGGTGTCTAACACTATGCATCCATGGTGGCGAATTCCACACCATGAATACCCTCATACCACACTTTCCATTCCTAAAAAATGAAGCCATGAAATCTGAAAATGACAAATGAGGATGCAAATCAGGAAAGTAACCCCATCTTTTCCCATCCGCAAATATATGACTCAACTCCTCAGGCTTCCTCTGCTGATCCTTGGACCTCTTAGTCTTCATTCCAATCATCTGCCTTGCTTCACCACCAACACCACTACTCTTATCCACTAAATTTTCATTTGCACTCAAATTCTTATCTCCCTTATAATCTTTAACTCCCTCCATGTTCGATACATCACTCAAGCTCTTACCTTTCATCAAATTTCTCCCATCATCCCCATTTGATCCATCACTCAATTTCTTATCTTTCATCAAATTTCTTTCATGATCCTCATGCAATACAATCCCATTTCCTTTAAAACTCACATCCTTACCAATATTACCATCACCATCCTTCAAGACTTTTCCATTATCCTCATTCAATACTCTCTTAACCTCACCTCTCTTCTCTCCAACTTCCGCATTGTGGATCATCTCCAAACCACTCAAACTCCTCTTCCCACCAAAAGGGTTCCTCTTAAACTCACTCAAAATCATCTTCTGCATAACCTTATCACCCCTAGTTAACCCAGTAACACCAACCCCATCAGGGTCTTGCAACAAAGGATTAGTCAACGGATTCAAAACTTCCAAATTAGACTTAAACATTTTATCTCTTCTCAAGAAATCACTCTTTTTGTCAAACCAATCACCCCACCCTTCTCTTAAAGGTGACACCTTTTTACCTATTTTCAACAGCAACGCGTCTTCAATACTCTTAACTTCACTCAATTTTCTCTTAATTTCCTCATCGACAACTATATCATCACTGCCAAAAGCGGTCTTGCTTTTATAATCCTCTACATTCAATCCTAGACTAAAACTATTGGAATTATAATCAGAAAAATCATAATCTTCTATCGATTTCTTATTCAAATACCTTCTAATTGAACCGGTTACATGATCCATGTAATACCCAGAAGATGAAATCGGGGGCCTTTTCGTGTCTTCTTCTTCGGTGTCGTTTTGGTCTTCATTGTTGTCGTTCTGGTGATATCCTTCTTCTTCTTTAATGGTGTCTTTTTCATCGATCCTGTCAATTGCTATTGAGAATTCGTCAGCTTGGGTCTTGAATGAGGAAGGAACTGTGTTCTGTTGGGGAGAGGAAGAGAGGCGAGTGTAGAGGAGAGAGACTGAGAAGAGGAGGAGGAGAGCAGCGATAACAGCGCATATTTGCGGACTGTAACGGGGACGGCGCCGGTTGCGGAGCATTTTTGGGCTGGTGCAGTTGAAAGGTGACGGAGGTTACAGGACGGAGGAGGTCGATGTAGATGGAGAAGGAGGGGAAGAGGAGGGCGGGGATAATAGACTCATGGGCCGAGTAACGGTTAAAAAAATGAAAAGTATTGGACAGTGAAGTGCTTTTACAAACTTATAGTGGGCCATGGGCCATAAGTTTATTTAATCGCAATTGAGACTAAGTTTTTTCTTCTTTTTTTCCGAGTATTAGTTTGAATGATAATATAAAGAGTATAGACTACTTTTTTTTATGATCATATTTATGATGAAAACAAAATACATTACCCAAGCATCTAAAAAGTAATGAATTTTTTTCTAATTTAGTCACTTATTTATTTTTATTTTTTACTTTAATTTGATTTTTTTTATTCTTAAACTTTTTTAATAATCATTCAGATTGTTTTGAAATGAGTTAAATTAACCGGATTATATTAAGATAACTCCATATAATTTAATTTAAAATTAGAGTTGAGCACATAGGTGAGTCAAGAGGTTTTTTTCTATCAATTTCATATTATTTTTTTCTTAATTTTATCTTTAAATATATTTTATTAAACGATCAGGTTACTTTTAGATCATCGAAATCAATTTAATTATGTCAGGGCAACACCTACATGATTTAATTTTAAATGTGGGTTAGGCAAGAAGTTTGATTGAAATTTTTTATGTCAATTTTATTATTATTATTATTTTTAATTTTATCTTCAAAAAATTTTTTCCAATCATCTGAAATGTCTTTAACCTGGTCAAATTAATTAGATCACGTTAAAGCAACTCTTAAAATAATTTAATTTTAATAAATAAAAAGTCAAATAAAAAGATTTAAAATCAATTTATTTGATTGAATTTAATAAAAATATTAAATAGTTTTTTTACGATTTAGATAAAAAAAATTATGAAGTTTTAATTTTTTTTTTATCCAACTTGTATCGCATTTATATATAAATTTATAAATTTAGGTGAGATTTTGAATTTTCTTTCTCATAAAAATTTGACAGAATTATTATAGTAATAAAGTATTTTCTCATTTAAACATTTTAAATTAGCATAATTATTAAACCCCGTCTAAGTATATGGATTAACCTATGAATTGTCTGACCCACTTCTTAGACAAGTTCAAGTGTAAAAATTATTGAACTCATAGTGAACTCAATTGAAACAAATAAAAATCGACTTGATAATTTTTAAAAAATAAAAATAATATTATTTTAATTGATCTAATTTAACTAAATTAACTTGATCAATCCTATCATCAGGCATAATTACCACACAAATTAGGATGACTAGCATTAGGATGACTAGCAAAGTTGTTCATATATTTTGGGTATATAATTACAGATAATTACTATCATGCCCATTTTACGGGCATCCTTAATTAGAGAGTCCTAGACCCCTAGGACATAAAATGCATGTGCCCTTCATCTCAGGGGCGAAAGGACTTTGCAATTTCTCTTGTTACAAAGGTAAAGTCCATTTTATGCAGTGATTTCAGCCATTTGGACTTTCATAAATAAAAGTTTTTCTATTTACCACTGAGGCAAAAGTAAATACATCAAACATGGATCAAATAATATAAAAATAAATAAATTAAAAGAGAAAAGGGTGCAAAGTAGTGTTGTTACTGGTATTAGACTCATTTTACTTTATAATGAATATAATAGTAAAAATTAATTTTGCCTCTTGGCCAGCGTGATGGGAGCAATAGGTCTTCTTAGTTTTCTATAAACAACACAAACACTAAAATATTATTAGAAAGAGAAAAAAAAAACATGTTTGGTTTCTTAGTGTCAGTTTCGGGTTTTTATTTTTGAATATATAGTTAAATTACTTAAATGCTTTTAAAGTAAAGAAAAAAAAAAGATCAAGAGTTATTTTTGTCTTTTCAAGTTGATTTTTTTGTTAGTTATTGTTTTGTTAAAGGGCTTTATGGTTTTTTAACCCATATTCAATAATATTAAATTTTAAAAAGTTGATGGATTGTGCTATGTGCCAAGATATATGTGATATTTATTGGTGTTTAAACCTGTTCTCTTGCTGCCTTGTTGGATATATTGCCGCACTATATTTCTCATGGTAAAATTTATGGTGTAGGTTATGGTTGGATGCTTTTTTTATTGGTAAGTTTTTTTTTTCTTTTTCTTTTTTTTTTAAAAATTGGTTTCTTTGTTGTTTATGTTTTTACTTTGTTCCTTTTACTTTTAATTTTTTTATTTATTTTTCTTGATATTTTTGTAAATGTTTTATTGTTTTTCAATTTAATTCTTAAATTTCAATTTGTTATATATATATATTTTAAATTTGATCCTTATTCTTTTTATTTCTATTTGTTTCTTAGACCTTTAATAAAAAAATTATTGGTTTTTAATTTCACCCTTCAATCCAAGTTTATGATGTGTTATTTTAAAAAAATTTGGTACGTATTCTTTTAATTTTTTTTCTTTTTGTTGGAGTTATTTTTCTTTTTCAATTTAACTCTCCAATCTAAAAATTATAGTTGTCTTCTAATTTAATTTTTATTTTTTTAATTGTTATTATTTTAGACCATCTTGTATAGTTAATTTTTTTTAGCATTATGCATTATCATTTTTCTATGTATGATACTTCTAGCTTAATAACATGATCACAAATTAAAAAAGTTAACATGAGTTAATATATTTTTTTACTTGTTTTTTTTATTTTATCGTTTAATATTATTATTTTTTAAAAAAAAACTAACTTTGTGATTTTCTCCAAAAAAAATCAATTAGGACGTAAATCATAGATTTTACAGATTAATTTAGGTTGGCTCATTTTTTATTATCTAAGTTACAATACAAGTCTATCGCACTACTTATCGAGCTAATTTTTTTTTATATTCAATTTTATATTTCTATGGATTTTTTAAAGATATTATGTTTTTTTTCTAGAAAAAATTATAATAAAATTAACTTATTAAACTCAATAGATGTTGTAATTCAAATTATTGATTTTTCTTATTTCTTTAAAATGCACTTGATAAACATTATTTGAAAAAAAAAAAACAAAAAACAGAGTCGCCGCGTAACAAGGTGTCATGCCTATTTCATTCTAAACATTCCCTGCAAATCAAATGAAAAACAAATATAGCAAAATATCAATAAACTGCCGAGATCATAAACCTATTGTAACAAAGGCAAAAGCAAAGGAAGGCCACATTACATTTAATTGACAACAGCTCTAAATCATATTCAAGAAACAAATTCGTTCGACCAAAAGAGAGCTAAAAGCTGAATGTTCTATCCACCTAAACAAGTTCAAAACAAAAGATGGTGATATTCACTTGGGAAACCGATCCAATTCAACCTGGAAAGCAAACGCGAAGGGAAGCAAAATGTTGGTCAAAAGCACCATGCCAGAATATATGGTTATACGAAGTCTTGCTTGGTATTACTGCCTTCTGATTTCAGGAAATTTTACTCACAGCACGTAATGGAGACTAAACCCTCGTCATGCATTTCAGATGGTTCACTGCATTGGATGTTCTTGTCGTTAGCTTCACCTCACTAACCAAAAACAAAAAGCAATTAAGGCAATGTTAAGCTCTTCTTGCTTGAGATCTGTGATTGCCCCAAGGTTAATGGCTGAGACTTTCACGATTTCCATCTCCACTATCTTCTCGCTCAACAACCACTATACAGTCTTTGCCTGCGGCTGCTGCTATCACCTCTCCATGTTTGTCATATTCTTCGCATAATTCTGGAGACTCTTTCATATTGGAGTAACTGACAGTTTCAATAGATGCTTTGCACTGTTCCCCAACACATTGCAAAAATAGCTTCTGTTTACTTTCTTCAACATTTCCACCTTCTTTGAATGCCTTTTCCGATCCACAGTTATAATCCATTCCGCTGCTCACCGTAATATCTATGGCCCTCTCACCAGTTGTTGGGCAAGATCTGTTCTCAACTTCAGCATTTTTTGGTAACTTTTCATTACCTCCATCGTGACAAGATCTATTCTCAGCTTTATCATTATCAGATAAATTTCCATTACCTCCATCATGATCAAGTCCACACTTGACAATCCCATCAATCTCAGAATTCATCAAAGTCAAGCTATTTTCTGTATTACTCTTGTATTCACCAGAAACCAGACCAACATGCTGTAATGCTTCTTTGCTGTCTCCATTAGCATTGCTGGGGGTCACCACACAATTTGCCACCTTCTCGTTTCCTTCACGATCTGAACGGCCTTGAAAACCTATATTCTTGTCTTCAATGCCAACATGAAATGTCATATCTGGTAACTCAACATTTTGAGTCATCCTACTTGCATTATCCTGACTTCCGACAATAACATTGCCAGATGATCCATTAACACTGAATTTTGGTCTGATCAACTTTCTTCTTTTATGCTGCTGACCTGATAAGCCAGTGTTTTCTGTACTCCCAGTAATGGCATCGCTTTCAATCTTCTGCACTTTTCTACGACGCTGGAAATCTACAAAAGGTATCACCCCAGGTATTTGGAGACCATCCCCCTTGCCGGCTGAAATATCATCCATGATAATCTCCTTTGAGACCTTTGGCAAGTGATCTGTTAATAACTGGGAATTCACGGTCATCTGTTCCTTATTCTTGAGATTTGTAACCTCATCATGCCTTTTCACCTGCTGCTTAATTTTTTTTTCCTTCACCCATTCATCGTGACTCTGGTGCAATATGGTCATGACTTCATCAATTGATGAATCAATATCATGTTCATCTTGTTTGCATACTTTTGAAGGCAAAGCTAAGCGGGAAAAGACACTTTTTCTCTCCCGATGATCAGAGTATATTCTCTGAGAGTTTTCTTGTGTATCTAGATTTATCGAACCATTTTCATGGCGTTTCAATCTAGGAACACAAGCAACAAATGCTTCATTGTTTTCATGCTGTGACATTTGATGATCACATTCCTCTTGTGAAGAGACAGGATACCTAACATCAGACACAAAGGAGGAAGACCTGTTAAGGCTACAGGAATAAGAGGAAGTGTCCTCCCTTGTCCTTTCAATCCCAGAGGAGTTTCTTTGCACATTTTCAGGATAAGCAGCACCAGGGAAAAGCATGCTGGTTCTGTTTGCATGGTCATGATGGCCAGGATATGAAAATGGATTGTCACTGGATAACAAAGAATTAAGGTTTTGGCATTTGCTTGTACTTTTAGGCTCTATATATGATGGAAATGATTCATTTGCAAATGAAGGGAAGATGTTGTGAGGGGGGCATTGAGGAACTGAATTACAGAGCTCAAATGATGATGGGCTCCTATTGTGCCCAGGATTTTCATTCATAGATGAGTTCCTAGCCACATGACCAGGATAATCAACACCTGGGAAAAGCATGCCAGACCTGTTCAGGTGCTCAAGTTGGTTGGCATTGGACAACGGAATGTAGTCAGACAAAGAGGCATTAATGTTTAAGTGACTGCTTGTACCTTCAGGCTCCACATCAGGAGGAAATGATTGATCAAATGAAGGAAAGACACTGCTGTGAGATGCTGGGAATTCAGGTACTGAATTAGAAAGGCCACGGGATGATGAGCACCTATTGCCAATCCTGGGGACATCTGGGTCATAAGGAATATTGCATGCACCAACTCCATCTCCATAAGATGTTGAATATAAAGCATTTGACCTAGGCAATCTATCACCATCCAATGCTGAAAAAGAAAGCTCAGAATTATGTGGCTCCATCAAGTGACGTGCTGTAGGAGACTGTCGAAATTGATCCTTAATTGCTTCCAAGACGGGCCATCTATAATATTGAGAGTTTTGCAGCTCCACCAAATTTTCTTCTGCGATGGTCTTGCTAAAACATTGAGGTGGATTAGACTGAAACATACCAGTATGCTCAGTTAAGGGTTGCTGAGAACCATTGTCCTCCATCATCTCCTGTCCTAGCCCATAACTTCTCGCAAAGTTGACATAATCAGAACTTCTACTTGTAGGAAAAGAATGCCCATGATGATTAGTTAAAGCATCCATCCTAGACTCATTCCCTATCATACTGCTTGTCACAGCCCGGGCATCCTCAGCCAAGCCCGGATTAGACTGAAAAATACTGGTATGCTCAGTTGAGGGCTGCTGAAAACCGTTGTCCTCCATCAGTTCCTGTCCTAGCCCATAACTTGTCGCAAAGTTGACATAATCAGAACTTCTTATGCTTGTAGGAAAAGAATGCCCACGATGATTAGTTAAAACATCCGTCCTAGACTCAATATTTACATCATGGTCATTCCCTACCATATTGCTTGTCAAAACCCGGGCACCCCCAGCCAAGCCTCCAACTTCACTCAAAGAGGCCACAAACTGCTCCTTTGAGATAAGCACTCTGTTAGTTTTATGTCCATTTCTGAAAGGAGGACTTGTGTACCTATCATACTCTCTTCTGTGCTTGCTGATAGAGTCCCCAAAGTACTCAGTGGAGATGGTGGAGCCAAAAGGAGCATCTGCATCTCGCTCATCTTTCTTGCTATCAATCATTACAAAGCTGCCATCACCAGTGGCACTTCTAGCTTCTTTTGCAGAGTACCCAACTGATCTTACAACCTTGCTTCGGGTAAATTGCCTCTCAAGTGGCCTATCTTTTATCTTTCGTTTACTGAACAATAAAAGAAGATTTTGAACCTGCACAATTTGTGAAGAACAGTCACTAGTTATAACACCAATTAGAAATTTTCAATCTGTTCAGATTAGACATCGTTAGCGAAGAAAGACCTGTCTTTCAGACAACCCGAAGTTGAACTTGTATGGTGAAAAATAATTTTCTCTGATTGCATCACGAAATTCATTTTCAGAGAGTGGGTCACACTGCCACATTTGGATGAATTTTACCTAGGAACAACACATCAATATAAAAAATCATAATATACATTTTTTCCTCCAACAAAAAGACAAATAAAATGAGCAATAAAGAGGCAGAATACCTGCGCAGGGAATTGTTTTCCAGATGAACTGTAAGCGTGGGGTACAATGTTCATTGCGCCATCAGAGCAAGCTTGAAATACACCATGAAGTTCTCTCCTCTCAAATTCAAACAGAAACAAAACCATTCCAGCTTTTACCTGTTTCACAAAGTCAGCCTGTCCTGACGGAAGGCCTAATAATTTCCTTCTAAAACATTCTTTCCTTGTAGCCCTGTTTGACATAAAGATTGCACCAAACTCGGGAAATTTTCCAGGAACATTATTAGGCTCATAAAACTCCATTGGAGCCCTTGATGTTATCTGTCAATTCAGCGATAATACCACAATATAGCTACTATATCAGGAGGCACAAAGAGCAGCAATGGAAGTGGAAAAACAAATTTATGCTATTTCAAAAGAGTTAGTGTCCTCGTATGAATAAGGATAGAGCTCCAACCATACCAGTTAAAAGTAACGAGAACAAGGAGACAGCACCCAGAGAAACTGAGATGGACAGAAAAAAAATGAATGAAAAGTTCTGCACGCGCAACATTGGAAACATACATAACAAGCAACTCAAATATATCAGCAAGATTGATGCTTTATCCCTTGATAAATGCACAAGAACTGCAGCAAATTATAAGCACACAAAAGAGAGAGAAATCTTAATGCCTTACGTGATCCTTGATAAATGTACAAGAATTTCAGCAAATTATAAGCACAGCATTGAGAAGAAAATTAACGCCAAAACAAGCTTAAATTCCCTTTCATTCATAATGAAAATAGAGTAACTTTCAATGTAATTAAAAGAAATAATAGAAACAACCAAACAGTAACAAAAACACCAAACGACAGATAACAAGCAAAACAATCAAGTATCAAATCAGAAAATTAAGACCCACGCCGCTAGCCAAACAACAGAGAAAGAAAGCTACGACATTCTTTAAAAATTAATTAAAAAATAAAAAAAGCAGCAATTTTGTTAACATCAAAAAATAAAAATAAAAAATTAATAAAAACTACAATCGATGATATTACAATGAGAGAGAGAAAATCGAGAAAACCTGACGAAAAGGATTTTTCGTTGCTTTGTTAAGTTTTTGGCTTCAAAAACGAAAACGAAAAAAAAAAATCTAAATTCCAAATGGATTGGCGTAATCGTTATCATAAAAGCACGAGAGAAACAAAGAGAAGAAAAATAATTATTATACCAAAAGGAGTTGCAGAGAGGATAGGGGAGGCCGTTTGGATTGGGGATGGTTGAGGATCGTGTCAGTCAGTGACACTATCCATCATAGAGAGAGATTGAAGGAGTAGTAGTAATCTGCTTTAAGAGGCGACCACCGCCTCTCCTCTCGTTTTGTATGAAGGAAGGTGGCGGTTTTTTATTTTGGAACGTGTGGATTTGACGGGCGATTTGTCTACTTGCCTTTTCGGCGCGTGATTTTCACTCGTTTGTTGAGGTCTCGATATTCAAATCAAAGTTACTTTAAAACGATGTTATTTTAAGATTATTTTAAAAGGATATTGATTTGGTTAATATTACGTTGGCAGAGGTGGCAGGCAAGGAAAAAGTAAAATTGAAAAAAATGCCCTCCACATTCTTTGTCGCCCAGAGAACAAAACAAAATTGTGTTGCTCCTGCGGTTTAGTTATATTTTTTCAAAAAAATAATTTTTTTTATTTATATATTTTTATTTTTAAATTATTTTAAGATACTAATATCAAAAATAAATTTTAAAAATAAAAATATTATTATGTCATAATCCAATTTTGGATCTCTGAAAATTATTTGCATATTTTTTTATTCAAAAATCCAAAAAAATAAAAATTTAAAATTCAAAAATATTTTCGGGACACGAAAAGATAAACTTTCGAGGTGCAAAATACTGAAACACTAGAAAGATAGCTAGATTGAGAGATTTCAACAAAATAAGATGAATAAAGAAAGAAAATTGAGATTGAGATCTACACATGATCAAAATTGAAAGAATTAACTAAGTTTAAAAACTCAATTAAATTTCAAATAAGTTTACTTGGTTTATTTAAAGACTTAACTGAAGAAAAAATAAAGTTTGAAAGTTAATCGAGCAAAAATTAAAATAATTAATTAAATTTAAGGATATGATTAAATTTTAAATGAGTTTTTGTGGATTCAATTAAGGACTTAATTAAAAATATCAAGTTTGGAGGTGTAATTTAGATCAATTTGAAAAAAAAAATAAAAGATTAAAAACACAATTGAAACTATAAAAAACTAAATTGGTACAATCAGGAGCTTAATTGAATGAAGCTTGAAGTATAATGTTCAATCGAGGACCATATTGCAAAGATTTTAAACTAAGAATCATTTTGCGAAAAAGGTTAAAATTTAAGAATCTAATTGAAGAAGGCTAGAGGTGGAGTTGTAAGGAACCCAAAAGATTAGAGTTGATTAAGGTTCATTTACAAAGTTTCAAATGTACATAGATTAATTTGAAAGAGATTATAATTTTATTATTTACTGTCTTCTTCCCACTAAAAAAAATAGAAAAAAATACCTCTATAGCACTTTCATACCTTTAATTCTTTCTTGTTTCTCTATTCAACAAGACAAACTTCATACGTTCCTGTACTTTTCATATCTAATTTACTCTAAGTCAAAACCCTAAATTATATTACACCAAAAACCAAAACTCCAGCACTTGTTAGGATAAATCTAGCCAACAACAATCATCATTCAAGTTAATAGTATTTATCAAAGTTGGACAATAGCAAGATCTTTCAAACTTGAAACTTCAACAAAGCAAAACTCCTTTTACAAGAATCAATTTTCTACTTTATAAATGATAAATTAAAAAGGAAACATATTAGTTTCAGATTTGATAGAATTTTTTTTCTAGAAGTAGTTACAACAATTGCAACGGATAGATCTGGATTTAAAAAAAAAACTGAAATTTTAATAGAGCAAAGTTCCCTATACTAGTATCTTTATTCGAATCTTTAAGTGTGGAATGAAGAGGGAACGTATTAGTTTGAAACTTGATAAATATTTTCTCTAGAAATAGTTATAATAATATATAAAAGTCAAATAAAAAGACATACATAGATTGAAAAATAAGAAGAAAACTTAAACTTTAATAAAGTAGAGCTCTTTTTAAAATCATTTATTTTCTGCTTTGCAAGTGGGGAATCACCAATGAAATATATTAGTTTTAAAATCGATAAGATTTTTTCTAATAAGCAATCACAATAATAAGTAAAAGAAAAAAACAAATATAGATCGAAAAACAAAAAGAATATTAAAACTTGGAGTAGAGCTCCCTCTATAAGTGTCAGCTTATTGCACCATCAATAACAAATTGAAAAGGAGATAAAGGAGTTTCGGATCCACCAAGGGCTCCTCCTCTAATAGTTACAACATATAATTCTATATGTTAAAGCAACAATGTTACACGGTTTCATGAATTGTTAGGTTATCTTAGTTGATTCCGAACCTCTAAATCTTTTTTGATAAATTGTTAGTCTTTGAAACAAAATATTCATTGAGAGTATGGTTTTGAGATTATTTGATGATGATTTATAATGATATAAGTTTGAGTGAGGATGATGATAAGTTTCTTTTATAAATATAGACAAGAATTATTAATTTGTTTTATTTTATTTTATCATGGATAAGTCTCTCAAAAATAAAAAAAATTATATTGCATAAATAATAAAAAATTACATGGCATGATTTAGTATCTTTAAATACCAATCTTTTTTTAAATAGTTTTGTTGATATATTTTCATGTATTTTTAAATTTAATAATTAGTTTATTAAAGCATACATTTCCAAAATACCAAAAAACTATATTGTTTCTTTTAATATATAAAATTATAAATTTACATGTAAAATATATTTTTGATATTAAATAAAAAAAATTTCTTTGATTTTTATGATGTAATTTTAAAATGATTATACTTGATTCTTAAAACTATAATCTATTATATTGGGTTAAACTGATTTTAATCATTAGATAAACTAATAGTTAAAAGATATAACAATATTTTAGTTTATATGAAACAAATAAATAATATAATTTATCTTAAGTAAGATATATTAGGGGTTATATATTATTTATATACATGACTAATCATTTTATTTATAATTTTAAATTAGTTAAGATTTTTAATGATTAAAATATTAGATGTAAGTAGAATTACATTTATAATAATTTTAATTTATTTTTAAATAAAAAAATATTTTAAAAGAATAACGTTTTCGCAATGCTACACAATACTAAAAAAACAACAAACTGTCTTCTCTCTCTCTTCCAAAACCCACGACCACAAGCCCAAAAAATACCACAAATTCTCCACCACCAACTTCGGTGTTCATCTGTCTCCAAATCAGCCCTGCTTCCTTCCTTACCACCACCATCTTGCTGCCTCTCCAGTTAGCAGTAGCAGCCCTTCATTCAACCCGAAAATAGCTCCATACCTCTCTCTTTTTTTTCCAACTGCTCAGCTCTCCCTAACAAAGCCCTGAAACAGCCACTCAAACCATCACAAAACGGCCCCAAAGCTGCCCCGAAACAGCACCAAATCGCCATCCACTGCAGCGCCTCACTCCTTCATTTTTCACCCTCCAAACCAGACCAATCTCAGCCATTAAAATACCATCCAAACAACCATTTTCCATACCAGAAAAATCCATGGCAACCGCCCCTTAATTCCAGTAAAAAAACCCAGGAAAAAGAGAGAAGAACGACAGAGAAAGGGAAGAAAAACCGAGTACCAAAATCCAATTTCGTGAAAGAATGTCCAAAGTTGACGTTTTGCCATCTATACGGGTTCAACAATCGTTTTCAAATTCAATTTAGACAAAATCTTCTACAATTGCCTCCAATTTCGACGTACTAGTTTGCCTTTTCTTTTATGGAACTAACATTTTCTTTAATAAAATTCCTTCACTGTTATCAAAAAAGGCAAAAAAGGATTAACATCATGATTTTACAAAAACTCCAACTTCGACTAATTCTTCAATAATTATGGATTAATGTTAGGGTTTTTATAGCAAAAAATTTCGACTTCAACAAAATCTCCTACAATTATAGATTAATGTCACTTTTTTATATATATAAAAAATACATCATCGATGAAATCTTATATTTCTGGGTATTAAGAGCAAAATCTTTGTTAAACTTGCACTAGGATTACCTGATCCCCTAACAGGTTCTTCTAATTAATTCAAAGCCCAATATAAACAGGCCCATGCTCACACCAGTTCATAAGCCCTGGTCCGATAAGAGAAGTCAGAGAAAAGCCCAGGTAGAGGGAAAAAAACCTTCTTCTCCACCAAGAAAAGCAAAATAAAACCCCAAGCAAATCTCTCTCGCACAAGCACGCTCGCATTCCCAGTTTTTCCTCTCTGCGTTTTAGTATATTTATTCAATCAATCAACCATGGGTGATAGCCAGTACTCCTTTTCTCTCACTACTTTCAGTCCTACAGGAAAGCTAGTACAGATCGAGCACGCATTGACTGCCGTTGGATCAGGCCAAACTTCTCTCGGAATCAAAGGTTGTTGCAATTCATTTTTCCCCCTTTCTTGTTGGTTTCGAAGATACTATGTTGTTATTGGGTTCTTAGATACGATGTTATTGATGGGTTTGGGTTTTTTTTTTTTGTGTTGTAGCTGCAAACGGTGTTGTTATTGCAACTGAGAAGAAATTGCCTTCTATTTTAGTCGATGAATCATCTGTAAGTAAATTAATTATGAATTTTTATCTTTATTATATTCTTTAGTTAAACCATTTAATTTTTCCCCTTTTTAATTGTGTTTTCTATATGAAATTTCCGGGTTTGCAGTTTGATCTTTTAGCTGTAACATAAATTTAGAGACTTGGGTATATGGCATTTTATTTGAAGTGGCTGATGATGGTTTGGGAAGAGTAACAAGTAGTAACATAAGTTTAGTTCTTGCCAATAAGGCGTTGGTGTGGTAGTAAATGGGTATATATTTTGGCTTTTAGTAGTAATATAAGTTTATTGACATGGGTTGGTTGCAATTTGTTAAAACTCGGTGTAAATTTGACAAATTTTGATGATTTTTTGGTAAAAAGAAACATGGGTTCTTGACAATGTGGTCTTGGTCTACTAGTTAACGACTCAAAGATTGAGACTTTGGATGCTGGAGTGTGTAGATTTGAATCCTCTTTAATCCCTTGGTCTACTAGTTAAAGATTGAGACTTTGGATTCTGGAGTGTGTAGATTTGAATCCTCTTTAATCTCTCATCATATGGAAAGGTGACCTTGGCTGTTTTAAATCATGCTGTTTTGCAATTAATTGATTATGGTGTAGATGGTTTGATTTTGGAGCCACCTGATTGGCCTATTATGCTAATCGGTAAGATGGTTCAAAACTCGAGTTGGTTATTGATGGTATTCAATTGTTTGTTATTTCAGGTTCAGAAAATACAGAATCTGACACCTAATATTGGAGTTGTCTACAGGTTTGTTTCTGCCTGCTTGTTGGTAACTAGGAAGGTTCATTTTTTTTTCTGCTGTTGTTTTAGCGCTGTGATCAGTGTGAAATTTGACTGAGAGTGATAGATTGAGATAGAAGCATGCCTACTCATTACCTGAACTTCAGTAGAACTCCTTGTAGTTCAATGTTCTTTATTGGTATGGTTATGGACTTGGCTTTGACATGCAGCTCACATACCCACCAATAGCTGTTTCAACGGGAAAAAAGAGCTGGCATAGCTCTTTAGGAAAAGAAAAATATAACATGGCTTTGCTCTTGGATCTGTAGATTAGACATCTTGGCTGATTGGTTGCTCAACGAGTCACTTCTTACTAGCTCATGCAACTTATTAGCCTATGTCAAAGGGGGTTGCTTTGCTGTATTTTTGTCTTTACAGTCTCTGAATCACCTGTATTTTGTTGTAGTGGAATGGGTCCTGACTTTCGAGTTTTAGTTCGGAAAAGTAGGAAGCAGGCAGAACAATATCATAGATTGTACAAGGTACTGTTCTTCAAGATTTCTTCATTGTTTTACTTCATCTTTTTTCTTCAATTTTGTTTTAATGTTACCGATAGCGTGGCTAAATTTCCATGGCTTATCTTATTATGAATGGTATATCTGCATCCTTTTGTCGCTTTTAAACATATATAAATAATTCGTCAAATGCTTGACAATAAGGTCAAGAGAATTTACCTACAAAGAAGTTATTGGGGTTGTCTAAATCAGAGGGACTTAATTAGTTGTCTTATTTCCCTGTGATGCGATTTTAACCCCAAGCCCAGCTGAATCAATTTATTAAATCCAGGGGTTAAGTATCAGATTACTATTTTATATCTAATTTTTGTCATCTGTTCTTGTTAATCATGAAGTTTGTAACTTGTGAATTGTTCTGATTTTAGGAACCAATTCCTGTCACACAACTCGTGAGGGAAACTGCCGCTGTCATGCAAGAGTTTACTCAATCTGGGTACTGGCATCTTTTATACAATTGAAATGTTTCAGTGGTTTTAGTTTATTTCTTATGTAATTTAGATCTGAATTTCAATTTCCAAATTTCAAAACCTTAGCCCTTATTTTAATAACCCAACAACTCTCATCCTATGTTCCCTCATCAGCATATCAACTCTTCACCCTGTTTCTTGAAGTTTGAAACCTCTATTCCTTTGTTTTTCCTTGCAGAGGTGTAAGGCCTTTTGGAGTATCTTTGCTAGTAGCTGGTTTTGATGACAAAGGTCCACAGCTGTACCAGGTATCTGTGCTTCCTTGTTATATTGTTGGAAGTCATTAACTACTTTTTGTTTATACTGGATTATCTGCTGCAGAGTACATGGTAGCCCAGTATTCTAAAAGTTGTATGCCTCTGCAACTATTATGCACCCTTCTGCATTGCATGGTTCTTTTGATTTGGTTGTAAAACCACTTGTTCCAGGCAAATAGCCATGTTTATGAGGAAAATCTGTAGCTTGTAAAATAGTATTTTTTCATAGTGTGTTCCTTGAAAAGTTACTTGGATGCTTTTCTCATCAGCTGGTTAGCAGATATGAAAATTGTTATGGCCAGGGTGGTTGATAGCTTTTTAACTCCTTTTTTTTCTTGGTTGAGATTTGGATGCATTATTACTCGCTTGTGTTGCTTTTCTGAACATATGTTCATCTCAGGATATACAAGTTAATTTTATGTTATTCTAGCACTCAAATCATAATTATTCTGAAGATGTGATATTTTGTATTTGTTTGGCTAGGTTGATCCCTCAGGTTCCTACTTCTCATGGAAAGCCTCAGCAATGGGAAAAAATGTTTCAAATGCAAAAACGTTTCTTGAGAAGAGGTATTTATTTGTTTTTGGTAGCCCAAAATGCTTCAGTTCTGTAAATGCTTCCAAGCATCTTCACGGGTTTTCCTAGCTACAGCAAATGCATTTTCACCTCCACCCCTAGCAACTACCAAGCATATGCTTCATTCAAAGTTTTGGCTACTTCAATTTTCAACTGCCAGTTTTCTTTGTCCTACGCCCCTGTTTCTTTCATCTTATTTATTGTGCTTCATCTTTCTCATCCAAGAAGAACTGGATTTTATTTTGGAAACAAAAAAAAAGAGAAAAAGATGAAGATTGAAATGACAATTTTGCTAATACATCTGTCTTCTGGCTTTTGTTCCATTGGACATGTGCTTGGTAATATTGTGGTTTAACGCCTGCATATCTTCATTTGATTTGAACAATTTCATTTGCCCTAACTTAAAATGTGCTTTGTAGATACACTGATGATATGGAGCTTGATGATGCTGTACACACTGCTATCTTGACACTGAAAGAGGGGTATACTACTTTAAATTTCCTCCACCTTTTTAATTTTTGAATTTCTGTGGTGGTGTTGAGGGATGTATGAAGTTTGATATATAAAAAGGAGGAGAAGATTTTTCAGGGGGTTTAACATACCTGCTACATGCATGTCATCATTTTCACCTAGTTGATTACATAATTGAGTGATATACATATAAATTTAGCCATTTAGGTATTGCTATTTTCTGCCACACATGCTTGAAGTGTTGTAGGTAAAATGAATTCTGGATAACACCGTTCTAGCTGAGGCCTTCAGCCCTGAGAACTTAAATTGGCTCTCAACACTTTCTTTCTTCTAGGTTGATTTTAACAAGTTAATTTGTTGAGTCTTGCTTCTATAATCAGAGTGATGGTGGATTAGTTAGCCTAACATTTATATAAATGAGCATTCTAACGTTTCATACAAGTGCTGCGAGTGCTTACCTTGTACCCTTACAAGTTTATTTTTGTGTTGGCAGATTTGAAGGACAGATCTCTGGGAAAAATATTGAAATTGGGATAATTGGTGCTGACAAGCAATTCAGGCATGCTCTTTCATAACCCATTTCCTTTTTAAGCTTGGTGATGGCGTCATGTAATTTTGACTTTGGGATGAGTTCCCTAAGTAAATTGCTCAAAGATGATTTCCATAAGTAAATTGCAGTTTAACACTGTTCATTACTAGTTAAAAACTGATGTCTATAACTTTTTGGATCTACACCAATATGTCATACATGGCCTTCCACTTCTCGTTTAAGTTTTGCAGTTTAGTTTTGATTTTCATGCACGCATTCTCTAGTTTCTGTCTTCCTTTTAGAAAAAAGTTGTATGTGATAGAACCATGGCGTTCTTATCTCTTGCGCTTTCTTTACTGCAGGGTCCTAACTCCAGCTGAAATTGATGATTATCTGGCTGAAGTGGAATAGAGACATCGTACTATTTGGCTGAAGTGGAGTTCTTTCCTGTATGACACCAATCGAGATACTCATGTCACTTTCTTTTGGAATCTGCTTGACTCAGTTGCTTTTAGCCCAAGTTTCTATTAATTCCAAATTTGTAGAACTGTGATTTGGAAATGTTATGAGACTTCTCTCCAATCTTAGATGCTTCTAAAGTCGCGCAACGATGTGATTTCCTTTATGATACGTTTGACAGATGGCTGGAAATTGGTCTTTTCAATGATACTCATCTCACTCCAATGCTTGAGCTGATTATTTAATTCCAACTGAGAACTCTGTAGAGGGAAACAGCGGTGGCAGCCGATCAATCCATGAAAATGCAAAGAGCTACTTCAAAAAAATAAAATAAAATAAAATAAAATTTCGGTGGCTCTTGTTCCGCTTGCAACAGTTTGTCAGTTTACACTCTATATCTTTAATTTTGATGTGATACAAGATGTTTTTTAATTAAAAATATATTAAAAAAATATTTTCTTATATAATTTTTAACACCAGCCAGCTTTCAAACAAAATTTGTACTGGAATTTTCGGTAAATTATATTAATATTAACACTAATAATTAGCATATTGTGTTTAGACAAAATAATCCCAGTGTTATTTAAACTTGAGTATCCTTCTCTACCAAATACAGTCAGGGGGCACCACGAGGTGACGGAAACCTAATTTTTTACTAGCTGAGATATTTTGAGGTTCACTTGTCCCTTCAGTAAACAGAAAAGGAACAGAAGCTATTCTTCACTCATGTAGTACATTATCCCAGAAAACAATCTTCCATGTCCTCTTTGCTTTCCTTTGCATGCTGGATGCTCAACTCTAGATATTCCTTTTATGCGTCCATGGAAGTCTAATCCTCCCTCTCTTAATTCTTATGCAATGCCATTGCTCATACTGCTCATGTTGCCTTGTTAATTTCTGTATATTTTAACTTCAGTTGTGGTTGTTCTCTTTCTTTTCTTTTCCGGGCCGCAACTTGCCACCTGATAGCATTCCAAGTCTGCAATTCGATTTGGACTCATTTGCTATTATATAAGAAAACGATTCCAAAACCACTCTGTTCGGTCTAAATCTGCTTGTAAGCTGTGTTCAACACTACTCCAGAACGATTCTACAAATGCCGACAAAGCAATCCTTTCCAAGCTGGATTTTTAACCGACGTTGTTGGCAGCGAAATGAAATCTGTCTGAAGGAAGCTTGATAGAGTTTGGAGTGGATTTGCTTTGCCAACCTTTTCTAGACTGCCCAAGATCAGAGCCGCATTCACCATAGCCTCAACAAAACTCAATGGAACAACGAATGCTGAAAAACAGAGACAGGATTCACAAGGATCTTCAACAGAATGGGAGACGATTTTTCAAGCGCCGTTGACCGAGGGCTCGATTGATAAGCTGCAGCTCGCAATTTACCTGTTACGACCAACACAACAAAAGGTCGAATCGTAGGTGCGGAAAAAGCAACAACTCCGTTCTTGCAATTTTAGAGGTGCATTGAAAATGTCTTGCATAACAAGAATCTCAGGCATGGCAGTTCGGAAAGGCTCTACAAATGCCGACAAAGCTATCTTGTCCAAGCTCGATTTTTAACCGACGTTGTTGGCAACAAAATAATATCTCGCTGGAAACTGGATCGAGTTTGAAAGGGATTGCTCTGCCAGTTTTCCTAAAACTGTTCAGACTTGCACAGCTCAAGGTTGGATGCGTGTCCAATAGATCTTCAATATCACTCGACGATGGCCGGAATGGAGACATGATTGACAAGGACAGTGATGACCAATTTCGCATTTGCCTTTAAGTCAGGACTTGCTCTATCGACCGGGTAGAATTTGCAAAGAGAAGATATGGTCTCATTTAAAAAGAAAAATAATATAAATTATTAAATTAAATTAGTTTTTTAATATAATATTAAAGCATTACTAACTAAACAGTTATAAATTTAAAAAATTAAATATAAATTAATATAAATTTTAATTACTTAAAAAAATATATTAAAAAATAATATAAATCATTTTGCTTAATATTTTTTTTATATTAGTTGCTAAGGGTGTTTATTTTTTAAATAAATCTTAATTTATACATAAAATAGCTCTAAAATACTCATAACCATGAACCATACTAAAGTTAAATGAAAATGAAGAAGTTTACACTTTAAAATTATTTAGTAATTTTGTTTTTTTGAAAAATAGTTATTTTTTAAATTAATTTTATTTTTTATTATGTATTATTATGTGTTTTTAGTTTTTTTTGTTTGAAAAGAACAATTTTCCTAGTTTATTTCTCTTATTCAGTAGTGTTTTTAAAATGAATAAAAATTAAATATTTTTAAATATTTCTTTCATTGTATCTCTAATCTTTAAAGATTTTAATTTATAATAAACTCAGTTATAAAATTATTTAGAGATACTCTAAAATTATTCTTCTGTAGTTAGAAATGAAAAAACAAATTATCTAAAATATGATTTTTTTTATATGAAAGCATTAAAAAAAATCACCCAAAACCCTACCACCAAAAAAATAAACATTTACCCTCATGTGAGGGCTGCCAGTCACTTGCAAGTGCCAACAACAAGGACAGTCGGCACTCACCAACTTTCTGAGACGGGTTGTTGACACATTGACCCACCATTATATCCTCTCTTTTGTTTTAATATCGGGAAAATAGCATATTGGTCCTCAAACCATCATAAAATCCCCAACTCGGTCACAAACAAAAGATGTTTCCAATCAGATCCCTATTCTATCAAACATTACCCAATTTACCTTAATTATTTTTATAAAATATGGAATTTTCAAAGAAAAATAGACCCTTTTTTTTACGATCTAAAATAAAAATCTTAACTAGAGGATTAATTGGGTAATATCCAATAGATGGGATATCTAACTAAATTTCTTTTTGACGGGTACCTAATTGAGAACTGGGTAACTGTTTGAGGATAGATATGTTCTTTTCACTTTTTTGGATTCCCTCTTTCTTTCTTGGGGGACACATTTTTGGATCGTTGCTATTTTGTCCTACTGTTTTTTTTACCAACAATTAATATAAAAATAAAAAACCCTCACCAGCCCCCCAGTACATAAAAACTCAGATGGCTTTAGTACGAGAAAAGGGAAACTAGAGAGATTGGTGTGTTTTCAAAGAGAAGCAGAGTTTGTCTTAGAATCACCACCTTTTCTATTATTATGGCTTCAAGATTGTTGTGGGCTTCAAGGGCTGCTTCTTACCTCAGGATCTCTGTTTCTCATAGAGGGTTTGCTTCTGGTAAATGATACTACAACCGTATTGGTTTCATGATTTCTTGATCTGTTCTTTAATTTTTTTGATGATGTATTTGATCATGAGAGAGTAATGATTGCTGATGTAGATATGGATCTTATGTATGTGCTTTGCTGGAATGCTTGATCTTCGATTGTTTTTTGGCTAAAGAATTGATTTTGGCATCTGGGGTGTGCTTGGATTTGGTGTTGGTCTGAATATTTTATTAAAGGTTGGATTTTTTCTTGAGTGAAGAGATTAGATGGACTCGTCAAGAAGGGATTGAGACATTGATTCTGATCGTTCTGTTTGTATTATGCTTACCATTGAGTTAGATTGATGACTGTGCTGCCAAAGCATCGATACTATTTTTGTTCATTGATTTAGTCTCGTGTTAAAGAGACATGAAATCAAAGCTGTTGTCTGATAATAATGACAGTTATCAATATAGTAAAAAAATGAAAAAATTGGGCTTTTTTGTTTTTCTGTTTTCGGAATTTTGAAAAGTGAAAATGTGTTTTCTTTTTAAAGCTTGCAAGTCTGATGGTGACGGTGAGGATGGAAAATGACATGGAGGTTTGTGAAGTTAGATTGTTACACAGTTTGGTTGTGGTATCCTAATGCAGCTGTGATGGCAATTCTTGTCTTTGACTCTTCGTTAGTGGCAGCACTCTTTACGATCTATTTCTGAGACAAATATTTCTTTTTGATTTTGATTGGGATTTATGGATGCTGAAAAGGCAGTGCTTTGCAAACTTAACTTAGGATCTCTTGCACACAATTAAGATCAAATATTGAGGAAATAGGATATAGTAATTCTACCAATTTTAAATTTTGTTACAATAAAAAACAAAATAACTGGAACGGCAATTCCATCCAGTTGGTCAACTTCAAAGTCAACTACTCAGTTTCTCTATATATGATCCATCTCCTTGAGTTAGAGCTTCCTGATTATATATGGACATCAATAATTAACATCATTTACAACATGGATAAGGGAAGACGGGGATTTTTGGAAATTTTTAACCAAATTGTTTACCAAGATTCCCTGAATTAGGCAATGCATCTACCATTCGTTTCAAGATTTGTGTCGGAACTCATAGGACCTGTGATTTTGTGCTGACTATATTTGGTTTCTCTGATGTCATATGTCTATTGTAAAATCATATGATCCTAGAACTTTCATGACTGCACCACAACTGTTCTAAATTGATCTAGCATTCAGTTTCCATTTAGACTTGTTTTTCTAGAGAGTGCTGCTGTGAACTGTTTCTCACTTTGTAGGGTTTTCAAGGTTCATTGTTGGATCTCCTACACCTTAAGCTTCCTGACATATTCATTTTCTCAAAATTCACCTGCAGTTATAAAGGACTTGAAGTATGCTGAAAGTCATGAATGGGTGAAGGTTGATGGTAATACTGCTACTGTTGGTATAACGGATCATGCTCAAGATCATTTAGGTGATGTAGTGTATGTTGAATTACCAGAAGTGGGTGCTACTGTAAATCAGGGTTCTGGATTTGGTGCAGTTGAAAGTGTCAAGGCTACTAGTGATGTTTATTCTCCTGTTTCGGGAAATGTGGTTGAAGTTAATGAAGAACTGAGCAACTCTCCTGGTTTGGTTAGTCTGCTTACATGGTGTCATATTCTTTTTCTTGAGATTTCTTTTATGAATCAAAATTTATGGTCGAATGTTTTTCATTTGTAGTTTGTTCCTCTAGATAACTGAAACTCCATATCTTTCAACCGATTACAAATCTTGGATTTCATAGGATCAGGTTTCTTAATTTATTAATGGAAATGGACTTGCCAAATAAAACAGCTCTCTCAAGCTATTTATTTAGTTTTCTAAAATCTCCTTAAAACTGAATGTTAATGAACGCATCTTCCTTAACCAGTGAATTTCATTTTTATTCCTTTACTCTTCCCTGAAACACGATGCAATGTTGCTGCTGTTTTTATCTATTTGTAACCAGAATTAGTCAGATAATCGT